TCCTCAAACTTTTGCTGGTAGGAAGGCAAGAATCACACAGCAATTTGGAAAATAAACTGGCCATTTGGTATAAAGTTGAATATATGCTTATTATAGGAGCCAGTGATTCACTTCCACCATTGTGCTCAAGCTAAATGGAACATTTTCCCAAAGACTTACACTCGAATAGTCATGGCATTTTTTATTCATGATAGTTTAACACTGGGAACCACCCAGATGTCCATAAATAGGTTATTCAACAAACATGACATGGAGCCATAACATGGCGTGTTACTCCAACACAGAAAGGAGCACGTGACTGTTTACCAATACGGATAAATCTCAAAAGCATCACACAAATGAAAGAAGCTGGCACAAGGGACTACATACTGCGCGATTTCATTTAAGTTAAATTCTGGAAAATGAAGAACACAGTGGTAGAAAGTAGATCCATGGTTGCCAGAGTCAGGCATGGGCGGAAAGGGCTGCCAAAGAGGCAGAGGGAAGTTTTGGGAAGTGATGGGAATTTTCTCTACCTTGATTGTGGTTGTGGCCACACAATTAAACCATTCACACACACATCCAGTTGTGCACTTAACACTGTTAAATGGCATGACATGAATTTTACCTCAATAAAGCTGACAAACTGATTCAAAGAAATAAAAACATTTGGGTGGATCCATTAGATAAATTATAATAGCTTAAAATCATACCAATTCTATATAATTCATTCTTCTAATTACTCATTCATGGTACATTGAGTTCCTACGCTATGGCAGGCACTATTACATAGGCTTCACAGATAATGCAGCACACTAAACAGGACAAGCCCCTGCTCTCTTGGAACTTACATTCTGGTTGGGGAGAAAGACAGTGCACAAATGAAAACTGATGCTAGTGACGGGTCCCATGGTGTGTGTATGTGGGGGGGACTCATGGGTGAGGCAGGAAGAGGCCATGCTGCTCGTGGTCAAGAAAGACCTCCCAGATGAGATGACATGGGAACCAAGACTGGACTCAAGTGGGAAGGCAAGCCCTGGAACACACAGGGGGAACCAGTCAAGGTAAAGATGCTGAGGAGGGGGAGCACTTGGCATTTTAGAGATATTCAGGGGGTGGGCATGGGGAAGCACACCTATAATCCCAGGGACTTAGGAGGCTGAGGCAGGAGGATCACAAGATCTAGGCAAGCCTCTACCATTTGGCAAGCTCCTGTCTCAAAATAACAAAAGGGCTGAGGATGTAGCTCAGTGTTAGAGTGCTCCTATGATCAATCACCAGTGCCAAAAAAAATTATTTCAAAGGTAGAGTCAGGGAAACCAATGTGATTTGAACAGGTTTAAGGAGGTTGCTGAGGGCTTTGAGCTGGGATACATGACTTTTTTTTTCTTTTTTTGGGTACAAGGAATCGAACTCAGGGGTGCTTAACCACTGAGCCACATTCCCAGCCCTTTTTTAATTTTTGAGACAGCATCTCACTAAGTTGCTTAGGGCTTCAATGAATTATGGAGCCTGGCCTCAAACTTGTGATCTTCCTGCTTCAGCCTAGGGAGTTGCTGAAATTACAGGTGTGTGCTACCCTGCCCGGCTTAAACGCTCGAATCTTACTCTGAGTAGAATGGGAAGCCATTGACCTGATATTCTAGAGGAGAAACAACATGATCTCACTTGTGTTTAAGAGGATCTTTCCAGGTCTGGGAGTGTAGCTCAGTGGTAGATGCTTGCCTGGCATGCAGTGAAGCCCTGGGTTCCATCTCCAGCACCACACTCACGCAAATAAAAATAAATAAATAAACAAACAAACAGACAGAGGGATCTTTCTGGCAGCTTTGTACAAAATGGATCAGCCCTTTCTGTAAGGGGCCAGATTTTTTTTTTTGGGGGGGGGGTACTGGGTATAGAACCCAGGGGCACTGTCCCCCGATCTATATCCCCAACATCCACCCCCAACTTTAATTTTGAGATAGGGTCTTATCAAGTTGCCTAGGTTGACCTTGGATTTGCAGTCTCCTTACCTCAGCCCCCTGAGTTGTTGGGATTACAGCTATGCACCCCCCTACCTAGCTCAGTAATATTTTAGTTTTGCAAACTGTGTGGTCTCTGTTGAGATTATCTAGCTCTGCTGTTATGGAGGCAAAGCAGCCAAGAACAATATAGAAGGAGTGTGGCTGAGTTCAAATGGCACTTTACCTACAAAACAGGCAGTGGGCTAGATTCAGCCCTGTGTGAATAACTGTAAACAGTTAACCCCAGGAATAACTGTAAGGGAAGGAAGGTAGACCAGTTGGGAGGTCCCATAATAAAATAAAGGAGGAAGTGTCAGTCACCCGTACCAGGGTATAGCTGGAAAGTGGCGAGACAGGACTGGGTCAGGTATATTATAATGGTAGAGCCAATAGGATTTGTTTGCAGGTAAGATAGGGAATGAGAGACAAAGACATTTTGTATGATTAATTGGAAGAACAGCTATTTGGGAGAAGATAGGCAGGGGATTACAGATAAAAATCAAGAATTTGGGCTTGCACATGTTAGGTTTGGGAGATCTATTAGATTTCTATTAAATATATAGGTATATACATATATACATTGGTGTAAGTACATATATATATTATATATATTATATATATATATTAGTACTGGGGAATTTAATCATCTAAGGGCACTTTACCACTAAGCTACATCCCTAGCTCTTTATTTTTATTTTTGAGATAGGGTCTCATTAAATTGCCAAGGGTGTTCTTTTTTTTTTTAAAAAAAATATTTATTTATTTATTTTTTGGCGGACACAACATCTTTGTTTGTATGTGGTGCTGAGGATTGAACCCGGGCTGCACGCATGCCAGGCGAGCGCGCTACCGCTTGAGTCACATCCCCAGCCCCACCAAAGGTGTTCTTGAACTTGTGATCATCCTACCCCAGCCTCCCAAAAAGCTGGGATCACAAGCTTGAGCCACTGCACCTGGCTTTTACTAAATATATTGAGTTGGAGATAGGATCAAGGGGGAGGGAGAGAGAGAGAGAGAGAGAGAGAGATAGATAGATAGATATTGGGTTTACAGAAACTGGTTTCAAAGTCTTCATTTGTCTAGAGGGTTTTTAAACCCAAGAGACTGGATGAAACCCTCCCCTCTAGGGAGTGTTTGTAGATTGAGAAGAAAGTAGGTCTCAAGGCAGTTTTACAGATGGGAATCCCAAAGATTCAAGGACTACTAAGCATAGACTTTTGCTCACTGTTTCAGGGAACAGAGGGAGGGAACACTTCATCCTCAGTTCATGAGGCTACTATGCCTTATGCCCAAAAAGATAATTTATAGGCCAATCTCACTTATGAGTATAGAAGAAAGGTCTCAATATGTAAATACATTTCTATAATACATTAGCAAAGCAAATCTAGAAGTTATGTGATCCAGTAGTGTTTATCCCAGGAATGTAAAGAGATTCATATATTATTCTATTAATATAATTTTCTATATTAATGGAATAAAGAACAACAATCCCAGGATCATAAGAGTAGAAAAGCATTTGATAAAATTTAAGTTAATTTTTAAAAAATTGTTTTCTTATTAAACAAAGCAGGACTAGTTGGGGGCTTTCTTAACTTGGAAAGGGTATTTGCCAAACACTTCATACTTAATAAAGGAGCATTAGAAGCATTTAAAACAAACAAACACACAGGAAGAACACCTATAATTTCAGTGGCTCTGGGAGGCTGAGGCAGGAAGATTAGAAGTTCAAAGCCAGCCTCAGTAACTTAGTGAGGCCCTTAGCAACTCAGTGAGAATCTGTCTCAAAAAAAAAAAAAACCAGACCAAACAACAACAAAAAAATCAGGAAGAAAACTATTCTTACATTTATCCCAAACAATCCCCGATTTAACGATGGTTCAACTCACATTTCATAAAGCGTTATGAAAGCCGCACACGTCAATAGAAACCATATCTGAATACTCACTTTGGACTTTTTCCGGGCTAGTCACACATGGTTCAATCCTTTCTGTTGATGGCGAGTAACTGCAAGGAGCTGTGGCCCTGTCAGCCCCACATTCTGCAGGCAAATAACCAACCCTGGACAGTGTGGTTAGGTGGTTAGGTGTAGTAAACCATTCTCCACTCTGCATTTATCAGAACACAAGTCCATCTGTATTACCTCCGAGACCCTCACCAGTGCAGGGGTGTAGTAGGATTACAGAAGAATAAGGAAAAAAAAAAAAAAACCAACAAAACTGACATTATTCACAAACACTGCTTAATTGTACAGAAAAGCTAAGATAAATTATTAGAAACAGAGAATTTCTGGGGCTAGGTCTGTAGCTCAGGAGTAGGGTGCTCGCCTAGCATGCACAAACCCCTGGGTTCTATCCCTGGCACTGGAAAAAATAAGAAAACAAGAAAATTTCTGCATATAAAACCAATATGCATACCAAGTGTCTCTTTCACTAGCTGTGAACAGTTTAAAGCTGTAACCTGCCCTTCTCTGATAGAGGTGGTAGAAACCAGGGGAGCTCTTTGAGTCACATTTCTGGCACTTCTTATTTCTGAGACAGGGTCTTGCAAAGTTGCTGAGTGAGGCCTTGAATTTGTCATCCTTCAGCCTGAGCCTCCCTAGGCACTGGGATTACAAATGTGTGTCCAACTAAAGCTGGAATTTTTTCCCCCTGGTACTGGGAATTGAACTCGGGGGCACTCAAACCACTGAGCCACATCCCCAACCCTATTTTGTATTTTATTTAGAGACAGGGTCTCACTGAGTTTCTTAGCGCCTCTCTGTTGCTGAGGCTGACTTTGAACACACGATCCTCCTGTCTCAGCCTCCTAAACCACTGGGATTACAGGCCTATGCCACTGCGCCTGCTTTAAAGCTGGAATTTTTGAAGGGAAGTTATTTGACTTGCCCAAAGTCCTGAAGCTGAGATGAAAAGCAGGCTCTGAGTGGTGGACTAAACTGCTTCCCCAGCAGTACAGCAGGACTTTTGGGGTATGAGGTCCTGAGCTGAGTGGAGGCAGCTATGGGGAAAGGCTCACCATGGGTAGGACTGAAGCCTTCAGCGAGGCAATGGTGATGGGCTGCGTCTTCTTGTCCTCCTGGTTTGTGGGGGGCACGATCTCCACACGGTTCACCTCGTCTTTGGCTTTCTCCCCCAGGCAAATCTGAGGGTGGTGGCAAACAGAGGCACTTCATCACCCCAAGAGCAGACCTTGGAATTCTACTGTCGCTCACTGGGAACAGAGAATCCCTTCTGTTCCCTCTTTCCTCCCCTCCCTGAGGGGCACCCACCGCATTGAGCAACAGCCTACAGTTCTCCTTCCTCTCTGCTTGAGGTCTGAAGGTGCAACTTCGCCTCTCCAGATTTAGTTCACCGCCTGCCAAGGGAGAGGGATGGGTAGGGCTGGGGCTGGGAGGCCCATGAAAACTCTCCAAGCTCCCTTGCAGCCCACCCCCAGGGGAAGGTTATCAGCATCTCCATCCTGCCTCTGCTGGGGACAGGGAGGGTGGACGGAGCTGCTCTTGGCCCTCACTCACCCCAGAGCAGGGTCTTTGCTTTTTCAGCTGTGCTGCTGATGCTAGGGCGACTCATGTCGCTGAGCAGAGCAGTGGGGGTGGCCGGACAGCTGTAAGGAGGGGGCCTGCCGTGAGTCAAGGTCCAGGGACCCTGCTTGGTACTCAGCAGCACTCTTTGTCAGCTGAGTGGTGCCCGATGGGCTAGCAGGGTTAGGTGATGAGGCCTTGGTTGCAGCCTAAGAGTGGCGCCATGGTCAAGGGCTCATTATAAACTCCTGGAGGACAGACAAGTATCCATGGCCCTACAGATGAGGGCAGCCCAGACCTGAAACAGCAGTACCAGGGAGAGAAAGGCGGTTCTGTCAAGCCCAGCTTGCTGTGAGATCACTTTTTGGGCCCTCCCAGACCTGTGGGAGGGTGCCAGGGTGTGTGTGACCTCATTGGGGTGGGGGTCTCAGAAAACAGAGAGAATGTCTAGTTTGGGCTTAATGCCACTCATGCCCTGGGTCCCAGCCTTCCTCAGCCCCTCTTGAATCTCACCTTGCTGTTGCTCAGGTCATGTGTTGTCCTACTGACTTAGGCCTCGTCCTCCTTCACCAGAGGCTTGATGTCCACACCAGGCTGTTAAAGAAGCCTGGGAAGGGGAAGAGGAAGGGGAGCTGTCCAATCAGCATCCAAGAAGCAGTCCTTTCCCCCATCCTATTCTCTCCTCCTCTGTGCCCCAGAATCACCTGGAGGGGCTCATTAAAACACACTTTGCTGGGCCTGACCTCTAATTTCCCATTGAAGAGGTCTGAGTGGGGCCAAGAGAATTTGCATCTTTAACAAGCACCCAGGTGAGGCCGCTGCTGCTGGTGCAGGACCACTCAGTGAGAACCACTGTCACGGCCACAGGGATTCACTAAGCCTAGTGCATGCTCCTTCTTCCCATTGGCCACCATTCTGCATCTCTGCCTGCGAAGTGTGGAGATTCTGATTGCTCTGCATCTTCATCAACACTTGACATTGTCACTCTTCCTAACTTTAGCCATTCCAGCGGGTGTATTTGATTTTCTAGCGATATTTAATTTGTGGTTTTTATTTGTATTTCCTTGATGAAAAATGGTATTGAACATCTTTTAAAGCAATTACTGGTCACGTGTATACAGTCATTTGAAAAACTCCTGTTCAAGTATTTTGCCTATTTTTAAGTCCTAAATACAAATGGTTTTTAACATATAGATAAATAGCTTTTAAAGATGGATAGATGCTGAAACTCAATACAAATTAAAATTGTATTGAAGTAATGCAAATCATCAGTATGAAGTAATGAAAATCATCAGTAGTAAGTGCTCTTCAGAGATCAGGTGCTATTTTGAGTAATACATATATCATATTTATTCTTTGCAACGACCCTACAGCCTAGTGATATGCAGTATGATATTCTTTCCATGCTAGTCATTGTTTTACCTGTGTTTTTTTTTTTTTTTTTTTGGTACTAGGAATTGAATCCAGGGATGCTTAACCACTGAGCAACATCCTCATCCCCTTTTGTATTTTATTTAGAGAGAGGGTCTCACTGAGTGGCTTAGGTTCTCGATCCTCCTGCCTCAGCCTGTGTGAGCTGCTGGGATTACAGGCATGCATCATTGCACCAAGATATTTTGCATATTTTTGTAGTTGGACACGATACCTTTGTTTATTTATTTTTGTATGGTGCTGAGGATCAAACCCATGGCCTCTCATGTTCTAGGTGAGCGCTCTACCACTGAGCCACAACCCCAGGCCTATTTTGCCTATTTTAAAAGAGTTATTTTTCTTATTGGGTTGTAGAGATTCTTTATATATGCTGTATGCTTGTTTTGGGTCAAATTATGTATTTCAAAGATTTTTTATTTCCATTAGATAGTATCTTTTCAAGATTTGATGAAACCCATTTTTTTTTTAATGGTTTTGGTTTGTTAAGACATCTGGCTTAACTTGAAATATTATGAAATATTTTGAGTATACTCTTTTGTGAATACTCTTAGGTGAGGATCAATGTCTGCCTCCCAATGGCATATCCATTTCCTCTAGCACCAACATACATATTGGTACCAGCGATTGAACCCAGCGGTGCTTAACCACTGAGCCACATCCCCAGCCCTTTTATATATTTTATTTAGAGACAGGGTCTCGCTGAGTTGCTTAGGGACTTGCTAAATTGCTGAGTCTAGCTTTGAGCTCATAATCCTCCTGCCTCAGCCTCCCAAGCTGCTGGATTACAGGTGTGCACCACCATACCTGGCTGTAGCACCAATTTTGAATATTATCCTTTCCCTATTGTTTTACCTTTGTTGAAAATCAGCTGTAAAAGTTGTTCTATATCTGGACTTCATTCTGTTTCATTGATCTATATGCCTGCTCTAAGGCCAATACCACAATGTCTTGATAACTCTAGTTTCATAGAAAATCTTGAAATCACAAGCCCACTAGCTCTGTTATTCTATTTTAAAATACATTAGTGATTCCAGATTCTTTGCGTTTTCATGTAAATTTTATTTTATTTTATTAATTTTATGTGTTTATTTTTACATGGTGCTGAGGTTTGAACCCAGTGCCTCACACATGCTAGGCAAGTGCTCTACCACTGAGCTACAGCTCCAGCCCTTCATGTAAATTTTATAATCAGTGTGTCAGTTTCTTTAATAAACCCTTTTGAGATTTTTATTGGGATTTTATTGAATGCAAAGATCAATATAGGTATAACTGACATAGTTTTGAGTTATTCAATCCATGAATTCATTACAATCTGCTTAGATCTTTAATATTCCTTGGCAGTATTTTGTAGATTTTAGAGTACAGATCTGTATCTTTTTTTTTGTACCAGGGATTGAACTCACGGTGCTTAACCACTTAGCCACATTCCCAACCTTTTTTATTTTGAAGCAGGGTCCCGCTAAGTTGCTTAGGGCCTCCCCAAGTTGTTGAGGCTGGTTTTGAACTTGAGATCCTCCCGCCTCAGTCTCCCAAGCCACTGTGCCCAGGCCTGACATCTATCTTGTTAAATTTATTTATTTATTATTATTTTTTGTGATGCCGGGGCCTTGTGCATGCGAGACTAGCACTCTGTATCCACTGAGCTACATCCCAAGCCCAGATTTATTTTTACATACTTCATGTTTTGGATGCCACAGCATATGGTATATATTTAAAAATGTCTTCCTCAAATTGCTGTTAGTATACAGAATTACAGTTTGTGTATGTGTACTTGTGTGTTGCTAAGGATCAAACGCAGGTTCTTGTGTGTGTGCTAGGCAAGCACTCTACACAACTGTGGCTTTTCTTGTATATTAGTCTTGTATTCTGTGTTTTCTGCTTGCTTATTAGTCCCAGTAGCTTTTTTGTACCCTAAGTCATGATATCTGTGAGTAGAGTTTTACTTCCTCCTCTCTGATCAGTGCGCCTTTTCCTTCTTGTGATCATGTTAGGACCTCAGGTAAAATATTGAATAGAAGTGGTAAGAATGGGCATGCTTACCTTCTTGGCTTTTGGGGAAACACTGGTTTTCACCTGTTACTGTGCTGTTGGTGATAGGCTTTTTGTAGATATCCTTTATCAGTTTGAGAACATTTATTTTGGACCTGGAGCTATAGATGGTGGCATACATGAGACCCTGGGTTTGATCCCCAGCTCAGCCAAAAGTAAAACAAAAACAAAAAGAAAACAAACAAACAACAACAAACCCCCCCCAACCAGAAAGTTTCTTTCTATTGCTAGTTTGTTAAAAGTTTTTTTAAAGCCTTTTTTTTTTCCAGTTGTAGATGCGCACAATACCTTTATTTTATTTACTTGTGTGGTGCTGAGGATTGAACCCAGTTCCCCATGCATGTGAGACAAGCGCTCCACCACTGAGCCACAACCCCAGCACTTGTTAAGCTTTTAAAAATTTTTTTAATATTTTTAATTCATTAATAGCTGGGTATGGTGGTGCATGTCTGTGCATGAACTCAGGAGGTAGGAGGATCACAGTAATTTAGTGAGCCATTTTATTCAATTTTTAAGTAAAAATTAAAAAGGGCTAGGAATGTACCTCAGTGGTAAATTGCCCCTGGTTCAATCCCAGCACTGAGAAAAAAAAAATTAGGAATAAAAATTGAATTTTGTTGTCATATGTTTTTTATTTACTGAAACCATCTATTATTTCTCCTTAATATTGTTTATATGGTAAATTAAATTTATTGTTTTTCAAATGCTTTCAACCTTGATCTTGACTCCTAGATCAATCAATCACATTTGGTCAAGGTAGCTCTTATATATTGTTGGATTTGCTTTGTTTATATTTCCATATGGATTCATAAAATATGGTAATCTAAAGGGTTCTTTGTTTTGCTTTTTTCATTTAATCTCTGATTTCGGCTTGGGAGATGCCTATTTGGTAAAATGAGTTGGGAAGTGCTCCCGCCTACTGAACTTTTGTGTTTGGTATTATTTCCTCAGTTTGATGTCTCTCAGGCACTGCGTGCAAAAGCAGGGAATCCTCTTGGGATCAGAGTTTCGCTGAGACTCTTCAAAGACCCCGCCTTCTCTACAGTACTCAGGAGCTGTACTGCCCTCGATCCCTCTTTTCCTCATTTAGCGGCCGCTCTATTCTGGAACCTGATAATCAAGCAAGAATCATCTTTTACTCTCCAAATCCAACTGGTCACAGAGCCCAGTTACCTCCATTTCCCTTAATTTCACTCCACTCCCTTTTCCCAACCCTTGCCTTGTTCCAATGTATTACCCACTAGCTGGTGGGTTAAACAAAGACTCCTCACTAGGTGGCTTTGACAAGTGGCTTTGGAAATTAAGAACTTTTAGGATCAAATGTCACCTCTCGTGCTCCACCCCTCATCTAGACACATACAGGGCTGCACTCTCTAGTCCTATTTCCGAAACTCCTAGGAAGGCAAACGACGTTTCATGCCTGCGTCCGTGCCTTCTTCGATTGGCCAGCCCTGCCCCGTGCGCCTGGGTGCCCCTTCGGCGTTCTCCCCGCGCTCCTGGCCGCAGGTGCGCATCCCTTTCAGTCGGCCTGCTCCACTGGGGTCTTCCCAGCCAGCGACCAAGTCCCCAACCCCCGTCCCCCAGCCCTATTCCAGGGTGCGAGCGAACTTAACTCCTAGCAAGCGCACCGGGGTGGAAAGACTCCTCACTAGGTGGCTTTGACAAGTGCCTTTGGAACTTCGCAGAGCAGGTAAAGACGGTGTCCCAAACTCAAACCTACCGCAGGACCGAGTCCTTGACTGCGCTTGCGCAGGACGGCGGGGCTTGTCTAGCGACGCCGCACGAAGGGCGCGCTTGGAGCCGGTGTGCGCAGACGCACGGGGACACCGCCGCTCCCGACGCGAAGAACCACTTCCGGGTCCGCGGGCCGGCGGCTGCTGGGGCAGCGCCAACGAAGAGTGAGGGGTCGCTTGTCGGTCGTGGACGTTTCCCCATTTCCTTCGTGAGGTTGAGGCGGGACCGTGTCGCCTTCTGCTCTTTCCCTTTCCGCAGAGGTCTGCCGCGCTTGTGTGGGCTTAACCGCTCTGCACCAGGCAGTGGAGGGCTTCGCAAGGGCGTCACTCGCATAGTTCCACCTGCTCTCTCCACTTACCGCCTGTGCGGACGCTCCCGCAACCCAGAGTTCACACTTCCTTGTCTTCATCATGACGTACCAAGATCGTCGGGTCCCGGCTCGTCGGGAGCCTGGTTTGATTGGTAGGGAGGGGACGGCTTAAGAACAGCTCAAATAAATTAGCAGGTTTAGGCGTTTAGGGATGGAAACTGTAGACGGGTACTTTAGAGAGGACGTGAGGCTCGATTTTGTGATGTGGGAAAGGGTAGGTGAACAAAAGGCATTAAGTTTAGATGAGAAAAGAGGGTTGGAAAAGACATCAAAGAAGGTGTGGCAGCAGTTGCATCTGTCTAGTTGAATGGAAGGATTCCACTGCGGTGTTTGTAGCTGGGTTGGTGAAGTTTGTCCCCATGGTTGACTGGAATAGTTTTCTGATGAAATGATAAAGGCCTGTTACATTTTTCTTTTGATATTGGGGTTTGAACCGGGGTCGCCGTACCATTGAGCTAGGTCCCCAGCTCTTTTGAGACAGGGTCCTGCTGAGTTGCAGACTGCTCCAGACCTTATCCTCTTGAGTGTTTCCCAAGTGCCTGGGATAGCAGGCATCTTTCACCACACCTGGCTGCCCAGTTACTTTGAAAAATGGTTTCATTTCCATTATCTTAGTTGGTACTCTCATTTTCCAGTTGAAATAATTCAGCTTGAATTTTCGGTCAAAATTCTCCTACCCCTTTACTAGCTGTGATTACTTATCAGTATCTCTTTAAGCTTTACATAGGACAAACACACTATCCGCTGGTCAGTTTTTATCCAGTGAGCTTGGTTGTTCCTCTGGATCTTGAATTCTGATGTCTAACTTGATAAATTTGTGAAACAGTAATAAGAGTCTAGGAGATTCCTCACTTGTCATTCTTCACTCCTTTGCAACCCAATAATGAGATAGGCTAGATTGTACAGATACTATGTGCTTAAGTGCATCATGAATTGTCTTCATGGATCTCGAAAGTATAACTGTAAGGTGCTATAAGATCTGTTCACTGTTTATTTTGGGGGGGGGGGGAATAAGAGGTGCTGGGGATTGAACCAAGACCTGGCACATACTAAGCACATACTCTATCATTGAAGTATACTCCTAGCCCTATTTTATTTAGAGGCAGGGTCTCACTGAGTTGCTTAGTGCCTGCTGTTGCTGACACTGGCTTTGAACTTTTGTTCCTCCTCCTGCCTCAGCCTCTGGAACATGCATCACCTGTTGACTGTATTTTAAAGCCAGTTTGAACTATCAGGGATCTACACCTAAGAGTGGAAATAAATTTGCTTTGCAGATGACATTTTCTGTTTTGAGTTTCCTTTTCCACTGCTGACAATCAGAAAATTATTTATAGATGCTTAGTATTTGACAAATGAACACATCATAAAGGACAGACATTAAATTTTCCCAAGAACTATGTTCTGAGGAAGGGGAGTACTTCCCAAACTTGATTCCATTCTCTACCCTGATGGTCTCATGTCCAATTGTCTGATAGCTGCTTCCTCTAGTTGATCCACTGGTTCTGAAAACACACTAAAGTGGCTAACAACCACTGAATTCAGAGTATCTAAGGCACCCAAGGTAAAGGTAATGGATCCAGAAAACAGCTAAAGGCAAGAACCCCTCTAGACATTATCTAGAATCTAATTAACAGTTGCATAATTATGGCTGATAAATACATTTTTATTCTTCTAAATTTCCCTGTGACTATATTCTTCTGCTTTGACACTTGAGATTTTGGCAACATTAGATGTCAGCTTAGGTTTCTAGATATAACCAAAAATTTTGTATGAGGACAGGGTTGACTGGTGGCAAGTAGGACACGGGGGGTGGTGTTTTGGACCTGTATTTATCATTCTTATCCCATTACCATGGATATTTTGGAAAGTATCTGTGTACCTGGATGAAATTTCATAGGGTACTTCAACATTTTTTCACTTGCAGGTAAAAAATCCTTAATAAACCCATATTTTGGAGAATGAAAAAAATTTCTTAGTTGGCTATCATTTGTCATCAGAAAGTTAGAAATTCTGAGTCCTTACTTCCTAAAATTTTAAAAACTAAAAAATGTGAACCTGAGCCTTATTTGTTTTCAGTACTTAAGATTGGACCCAGAAGTTCTTTACCACTGAGCTACATCTACAGCCACCCCCCACTTTTTTTTTTTTTTTTTTTTAACAGGGTCTAAGTTGCTGAGACTGATCTTCAACTTGCAATCCTCCTGCCTCAAGTCTCTGGAGTCCCTGGGATTAGAGGCATCTGCTGCCATACTTGTGGTTGGGATTACTGGCATTCACCACAGTGCCCAGCCTCCCTTCTTTTGATTAATACTTTAGTGGGAAAAGAAAACCAGTGCACACACACAAAACAGTTAATAATTGACAGTAAAGAATTTGTTGTGGGCTGGGGATGTGGCTCAAGCCTGGCATGCGCGGGGGCCCTGGGTTTGATCCTCAACACCACATAAAAATAAAGATGTTGGGTCTACAGAAAACTAAAAAATAAATATTAAAAAATAATTCTCTCTTAAAAAAATTTGTTGTTTTAACACAGCCACATCAATGTTTATAGCTGCACAATTCACAATAGCTCAACTGTGGAACCAACCTAGATGCCCTTCACTGGTTGAATGGATAAAAAAAAAAAAATGTGGCATATATACAAAATGGAATATTACTCAGCAATAAAAGAGAATAAAATCATGGCATGTGCAGGTAAATGGATGGTGTTGGAGAAGATAATGCTAAGGGAAGTTAGCCAATCCCCCCCAAAACAAATGAAGAATGTTTTCTCTGATATAAGGAGGTTGAATCATGGTGGGGTAGGGAGGGGGAGCATGGGAGGAATAGACGAACTCTATATAGGGCAGAGGGGTGGGAAGGGAAGGGAGGGGGCAGGGGGTTAGCAAAAATGGTGGAATGTGATGGACATCATTATCCAAAGTACATGTATGAAGACACAAATTGGTATGAACATATTTTATATACAGAGATGAAAAATTATGCTCTATATGTGTAGTGAGAATTGTAATTCATTCTGCTGTCATTTATTTTTAAAAAATCAATTAAAAAATAAAAGAATTTGTTGTTTCAGGGTAAGGTACAGTTTGTTTCAGGAAAAAGTACCTAGTAATAGTCTAGAGACTCCTACATAAATTCATTTTTTGACTGAATAAAAACCACATGATTTCTAGAGAAACTGGAACTTAAGATTTAACTTGGCTTTTATTAGGTTGAATTATATGAAATTAATAATCATGTTTTACCAAAAAAGGCTACGGGGGGGGGGGGGGGTACCTGCTCTTATAATTGGCAATTAGGAGAGAACAGTCCCTTGGCCATGTACTCAGCCTGTCCTGATGAGACCACCATGCCTGATGAGTTTCTTGCCTCAAATTATTTTTGTGGAAGGGAAGGAAGAGGGCTCTGGGATTTTGCAGATGGATAGGCATGTCAAGATAGTTGGGGAAAAGGGACTCTTTTTCAAGTACCTGTGAGAAAGTTGTTACTGTTTTGTCTTCAGAATTAGAATTCTAAGTCCCTGGAGCACAGGAGAATTTTGCTTAATAATGGAACTTCACCACTCACTATTTTATCTCTCTGCTAGGCTTACAGATGCTAATATCAGTCAATTCTATTTGCCTTTTTTGGGTTTGTTTTTTGGTGGCACTGGGGATTGAACACAGGGGTCCTCTACCACTGAGCTACATTCCCAGTCCTTTTTGTCTTTGTGAGATGGGGTCTTGCTAAGTTGCTGAGGCTGTCTCTGAATTTGTAACCATCTTAGCCTCTAGAGTTGCCAGGATCACAGATATGAGCTTGTGCCATTAGAATACAATTTTTTTGCCTTCAAAACAAAACTGAGGTTATACCTATTCGAAGAAGGCTGAAACAGCATAAAAATGAGTATTTAAGTCAGACAAGATGGCACTCTTGAACCTATGAATCATTGGATATTATTTTTTTTTTAAAGAGAGAGAGAATTTTTTAATATTTATTTTTTAGTTTTCGGTGGACACAACATCTTTGTTTGTATGTGGTGCTGAGGATCGAACCCGGGCCACAGGCATGCCAGGTGAGCGCGCTACGGCTTGAGCCACATCCCTAACCCCTCACTGGATATTATTAACCCGCAGTAAGGTACACACCTGCTTTCCAGTGTTTTTGGTAATGAAGCTCTAGCATACTTAGGTACTGTGCAGCTTAGGAATTAGGAGTTCACATTTCATTAGTGTTCTTCATTTGCTAAATCTGGCCCATAAGGTCTGGAAGTATTCCAGGGGATAGCATTTGCCTTTGAACTTGTCAGGATCTACTGAATAAAGCCCAGCCCACACCAGAAGAGCAGATGTCAAGACACTAACAAAGCTGGGCTTTCTTCAATTACTGCTTGTCTGCGGGTGGCCACATTAGTACCATGCTAGTAAAGAGGTGGCTTCATTCAGCTGTGGACAACATATGCTATCCCTTATGCACGTCAGCCGAACCAATCATACTTTGAAAACGAAGTTGAGTGAGACTTAGTCCAATGCTTTTTTTAAAACTAGGGGTGCTCTACCACTGGGCAACAACATCCCCAGACTTTTTTTTTTTTTTTGTATTTTGAGACACAGTTTTACTAAGTTGCCCAAGCTAGCCTTGAACTTGCTATCCTCCTGCCTTAGCCTCCCGAGTCACTGGGATTATAGGTGTGGCCACCACTTGCATTTACTCTGACGAGAAACAAAGTTAATTTTTAAGGCTGAGAGGCCCCTGTCGCTCACTGGCTTTTAAGAATGCATGTTTCAAACAGCTTTGTGTTTAGAGTGAGACACGTCCCTGAACACACACTAGACTTGATTGCTGAAACCAGGTCAGTAGAAACCATTGAAGTTTATTGGCGGTCACAATGCTTACACTGTATGCAGCAAACACCCTTACAAGTCTATCCGCAACCTGATCACGCAAGAAAGGAGTCACCACACAGTCGCCAGAGGAAAAGGAAAAAAAAAAAAAAATCAACAGGCTTGTTTCTGGGGGTAGAGGAGAGAAATAAAAACAAAACCTAATT